TTACAATTTTGCTCTTCACTGAAGAATGATAATCGTAACTTAATGATTTTTTTTCTTCAAAAATATTTTTTTCATATTTGTAAATGATGAAACATGTATTCCTTCGTATATTGTTACACCACCATCTCAAAGTAGAACACAAACACTACTAGCTTTTGTTACGTTTTTTTCCAAGACTTTTCACTTAGAAACAGTAATTAAGTCATCTTGTCTGCAATTTCATGGATACGTAGGCCAATTTTGCCTTCAAGAAATGAAAACAATTATTTGGAGACGAAATGAAAACAGACGGTAGTCGTAATTGTGTAGGACTTGTCTAAATTGTTTATTCTAGAAATCAATAAATTGTATCCCAAGGTATCCAAAAACTATTTTCTCTCCCTATTCCTGCCAGTTAACCGGCTTTTCCACGCAATCTTGTCATGACCAGGGAAATCTAAAATTCAGATTCACTAAAACGTATTTGGGACCTCGTTCTTGTGTCTCATGCTCACACTTACCGTACAACTATTGGTCACGACATCGTCACTTTTATACCGTAAACCGTTGATCACGACATGGGGCTTCCGGTGATTCATGGTTGCATTTTTTTATATACAAGGGAAAAGGGATGTTTATTTTAGTGGGCCAAATATTTGAGTACATGAGAGAGGGAGAGAGAGAGGGAGAGATCGAGATCAGCTAAAAATTAATTTTGTGAAGTTTTTAAAATTGATGTTGATCAACATGAACGACAAAGGTTAGATATGTCTGTGTATATCCCAAATTGCATATATTTCAAAACATAGTTTCAAATGTTTCAATAAATTAGAAAAAGAACCTTTTTTCTTCTTATCAATACCTCAAAGCTAGTTTTCTTATATTTTTGATTCACACTCTAGCTCTCATCATCATTTTTTCTATTTTCTTGTAATATTCTTTGATATACGATGACGTAAATATGATAATCCTTCCCAAAAAATGCACAAGATTCTACCAAATGTTATATTACATAATTAAGACTGAATGTCATTTATTCTTATCTAAATTAAACTTTACTAGCAAGATTCGTTTGTCTGTATGTCTGAGGAAAGTCTCAAGGGACGTCAAAACTTTCTCTCCCGCCACCTCGTGTGTCGTGTTAGGATGATAAAAAGGCCCCTTACGTCTTTAGAGAAAAAGATGCACTGAACGACAACACGTTTGTGACACAAAAGATAACGTGATGAAGCTCCTTGTCTTAAAGGAAAATTGAAATTACATGTAAATCCATTAACCCCGCTCCGTGAATTCGATTATCGTCAAATATACGGCTAGGTTGCAGCAGTAAATAGCTTTAGTACTGATTTGCTGATGGTGTAAGGGGCCCGCGTAATAAAAACTGGCAAGATATTCTTTTTCCCTTGAAAATCATAAGATCCTCCAAAAATCGATGGTTGTAAGCAGTTTTATGACAAGGAAGGCGATTTTATCTCTTTCTAAACGCGTCCAGAATATTTTTACGGTATACTATTTTGATAGATTGTTTTCCCTATGATGGATTCTTCCTCTGTGTTCTGAATGCAATAATATCTAATTATCACAATTTTCATATGTGTTTTTCTTTCTTCAAAAAACTATTTATATTTTAAAAACTGACATTTTATCCTCTCCATTCTGCGTCGCCAGTATATAGGGTTCCGGGCAATGCTTGCTCACCAGGTTACTACTACCACAGGTTTATCTTCACCATATTGTATGCTATAAGTGTATTTTTTTTTACTTTCAGAAATATTACTTAGTTGGATATACATGTATGTTACAAAAAAGAGATAGAATTTTATTTTGATATAATTATATGTAATTTGTTTATCAGCAATTTTTTTTAAGTATAGCTAACACATGTGCTATTAGTTTAATTACATTTAAGGGGGCTGACTGTAGTTTCCATTGCGCAATATTTTGCGCATCATAGTAAAATGTAGCATATTTACTGTTTTAATGCAACTTTTTTCGCTTAATTATTAACATTAAACAAAATTAAGAAATTATAGGTATAAAAATGTAATTACAATTTGATATAACTGATTTTTTAACCGATTTTGTAATTGATAGGTAGGTTGACGTCGTTGCAGTGTTTTTGACGTTATAGTAATCTGTAGCTCTTAAAGAAAGGGGTAATAAAAATATTTTAAAAGAAAAAGTAATAAAATACGCTCTTGAAATTTAAAACGTAGAAATTTGAGAATATCTCTAATATTTGTATCATGTTTTCATGAGAATCCATTGTGTACGTCATATTTTGTGATAGTCTATGAAAATAGTAAAAATTGCTAATGTTATGCATTTTGAGATGCCCCCTCTGGTAACAAGACGGTAGAATTTTGTGTTTCTTACATATATTGTATAATATAGTATTACTCATCAAATATTATAGTTTGAACAAAATGTCTATTGTAGTATTTGTATAGTTTGCTTTAAAGTGCTAAAAATTGGCATCTTCCTATATAATCCTATAGTGAATGTACTTGTATTTTGAGACGGTCCCTCAAAAATATCTGGTTGGTAGATTTCCCCCAAACTTTGCATGTACACTGCAGTTAATGTAAGTTATATATGGTTTAAAAATAAAGAGTTTCGCTATTGCAGTTTTCACACAATAAAACTATAGTCGGCCCCCTTAAATATAACTTATGAAACATATTCACTTGATGATATTGTATTGGGATTAACATCACATGATATATGTTTACCTGCTTTATTTGGTGATGGTCTGAGATATTTAACATATAACTTACGATATACCCGGGTATGTACAGCCACACGGGGTACATGCAGGTATTTTATTATTAATGAATAGTAGTATGATTGTTGTGAGATTTTATTTTCATGAGCTGCTCATGAAAATAAAATCTCACAACAAGTTACTATTCATTAATAATAAAATACCTGCATGTACCCCGTGTGGCTGTACATACCAATATTCATATACATTTTGAGATTATATATTTCATGGTCAATCTCCCTATTACTCAGTGTCCTTGCATGCTTTCCTGTTTACATAATAAAATGTTTTCCCTCTTTCCTGTAGATATTTTCGCTCTGGAGCCGAGTTTTGACGTCCCAGTTATCAACATTACAGTCGTGGTGGGTAAAACCGCGATATTGCCGTGTTCGGTTGAGTTTCTTGGAGAACATAAGGTACGGTTGCAGAAAGGTCAAATCTTGAACATCATTGATGAGCAATCTTGAAAGTGTATAATGTCTTATTCCTTTAAAATGTCTTATTTGAATAATTTACAGCCGAAATACTACAATAAGTATTTTCCTGGTGTGATTATTGTAATTAACATTACTTTTTGAAGGTTGTTTACTCAACATTATTGACTTTTGACATAAACCGAATCATTGATGACGATAGAATTGGAATCGATAGACCTTATACCAGAGATTGGAATTTATTAATTCGCGACGTCAAAGTTAAAGATAGAGGGCGCTATATATGTCAAATCAACACCCATCCAATCAAAACTTGAACTCAATGTTTTAGGTAAGTTTTATATTCCGATTTTATGCAGCGCATGCTTCCTGGTTTTGTTCCATGTTGGAATCTTACAAAAGAAGGACAATAAACCATCACTATTATATGCATGACTATATACGAGGGTTGTCCCATAAAATCGTGACAAGTTGTGTAGTTTGAAAAATAATCATTTTTACGTTCTGAAATTTTCACTACTTTTTAGTACATATATTATGAATATATACAGAGCAAATTTCAAATAGATATCTGCATAAATAAACAAATTATTAGATGTTATGTCATGTATTGTATCGCCCTACGGCGCACGGATGATAACGTTTTAAAACAGCGTCACGTTTCATCTTTGACATAAAGTTGGATAAGACTTAAATTTAAAAATTCCATTGATTCACATAAGTGAGTGTCTATAACCAGATAAGGAACCCATCTGGCACACACATGCAATCTTTCAAAAATTCATTAGCACGTTTTGGACAGTATTCTCACCAGCATTTAAATAGCAGAGAATCTCATATCAACGGTCGACATTGACAGTGTCTTATGCTATTACAATAGCAGTTTGTCCGTATATTTTGTACTACCTGAGACTCAATCAAAAAGAATTCGCTAAGAAAACTTCCATTTTATTTGTATTCTAAAGATCTGGTGATCATATTTTCTTTCTTCTGTTATCATTTAAAGTCTCTTAAGGTATCATTACAACATCCAAATCTAACTGAACTGCTCTCCGGTGCGCGTAACGTCATCAAAAATCGCTATTTTTTTAGCATTATGTTTATCACTTTCCAATTTTATGCCAAAAATTAACCAAATGCCTTGAAATTTTAATAAAGACGAAATAATTTATTAAGGAATCGAATTATGATAATTTTCGTCCCAATCTTATGTATTGAAAACTTTTATTACGAATTAATTTTTGTGTATTCTCTAATATAACAACGTTTTTTTTACTGTGCGCCGTAGGATCGTACCCTGTGCACATTCAAGCAAGATTAAAATCTTTATTTTTGTCTATATATTATCAAAAACATAATGATGCACTTAAATATGATGAATAAACATTTACTGAAAATTTCAGCTCGGTGCGCCCATTACTTTTTGAGAAAAACGCTTTGACCACGATTTTACGGGACAACCCTCGTATATTACTTTAATTTCTGTTTGATTGATAAAATGGGTGGAATATACCACTTATCACGACATTAGTTGAGGCAGCATGACTGCTACAACCAGTTACGTTGTAGTTGTCAACTACGTGTAAGGCGGCCAGTTGTTGACACAGAAACATATACGTAAAGAAGAAAATTTGATCTCCTTTAAAAGAAGAGCTCCATATAAAGATATACAAAATGACAAATTTCAAAACTTAAATGTATGAATTTTTTCTTTGCCAAAGATGTGATACCATATCTAAAAAATAAGTTTCTGATGGTTAATTTGGGGTTATATGTTGAAGCCTCCTTAAAAGAAAATTTGCTTCGAAAAAACGATCGGCAGGTGTGATTTTAGGTTAATTTATTTTACGCTTTGTGACCATGTTCGTGATGTAGACATTCGCCGTAGTGCACCGCCTCCAGAGTTAGCCCTTCATGATGATGTTTGCACTCAGCTTTGGCAAATTCACAGCTGAAAAAAGCAAAACAAAGAATAGAGAATGCATATGGTCATCTTTAAAAATTATTCAAGACAATAACCTCTTAACCAAAATTAATCTTTCCTTTAAAAATGCTGCTGTCTAATAGACTTTAACCCGTTGTGCTTGTTTGAGTGACTCGCCTGTTTTGATACGTGTCTGACTATTTGGTGTAGTTAATAAAAATGACACACTTGTGGTATCTTTAATGTTACCACTTAATGGTGTAACCCAACCGTTACCAACTGCTTTCGTCAACTAAGACTTCAACCAATAGCTGTGGTCTTTTGATTTTTACTACCTGCTGCTGAAAACTTGACAGCAAACCACTGTAGTAACTTTACTGTGATCACTTCCTGTGGTAACTTGATTGATGCCATCTACTTAGGTAGCTTGACAAGTATCACCTTCTGTGCTAACTTGACTTTAACTTGACTTTGTTATCATTTGTTGACAACCTTTCCTGTAGATTTCATCAATTGGTCACATGTTTTTGCATTTTATTTGAAATGTGCCACCCAACATGCATCAACTAATGCTCTAACATTTGTCATTTATTTGCTGGAAATGCCTTTACTTGTTAGGATACCCGTGCTTTGTTTGTTTATTGTCTTCCCTTTAACAGGTGTCTTACAACATTTGATACTTTTTATTGAATGGGAATTGTAATCCTTTGGTCAATTGTTGTTGCCACACCTGTAGCAGGTACTGTCCTCAATTTTTTACCTGTTTTTGCTTCATCTGATTCATTTCCACCTGTAGTCTCACCTGTGATACAGTGCTGTATGTGTGATGATCAGAGATCAGGTGCTATATTTGTTACCTGTTATTGTTTCACCTATCTTTTTACCTTTGAAAAGGTGATTGCCACCTGTTGCCTCACCTGTTCTGATAGGTGTGATGATTTGAGGCACACACTACCATTGTTGTAAAGGTACTACAGTCCGTGTGTTGGATCTCATGACAAAGCTGGGAGTGTTCGAGGGGGTCAGGGGTGTGATGGTCATGCTCATGGGGGCTGCACTAATGCCTAAATATAGAAAAAGATAGTTGGTGTATTAAGATCTATCTTAGTCACATCACATTAAAAAAAATAATGTCATCAGTGACCAATGACCTTTTTATGAAGAGACTTAATATTTAAAATTTTAATGTACAATTTTTATTACAAAAAATTCAGTAATTTTTGGTAATTATAAGATTTCTTTTTTAAAAAAAGGTAATACTTGAAATCTGTAAAGAACGAATACTGGTCCTCAGTATAGCTATTAATATTTAATGGTGTTATATTATATTGTTCTAAGTCTCACAAATTGGAATGAACGCATACTAGTATCTTTAATTACTTCCAGTTATTTGCAGACCTATTGTTGTATTCAGAAACTTCTACACAAGAAGAAAAAACACATGCTGTGGTCTTCAATTCGACATTTAGATATATCGACGTAGTATTATCAATTAACATTTGTTACTTCCATTCATGTATGCGAGTCGATTAATTAAAGACGCCATAGTCTGACACATTTGTTTCATTTTTGAATGCTTTACTAGAAAAAGAGGTTTGTGATGACCTAACAACAAAACAGGGGGAGGGCTTAAATAGGCTTTGCCTGCTGCCTAATCCCATTCACTCTTATTTGTGAATAAAATTCAGTATAAATAAAAACAACAAAATTGTTTGATTAACGCGATGACTTGTTTTTTTTTTATCGGTAACACTTTTCTTACTTATTAGCAATTAACCCCTTTCATTTCTGATGGGGTATATTTCTTCCAGCTGATTCGATACGAAGGAGCATGCTGTATTTAAAATCACTTTTTTAAAGAAAGCAAGCTATTGACCAACAAGTTAATGAGAATTCAATTGAAGTCAAAATTAGGCTTATATAGTCTAAACAATGATCTTTTCAGCAAATAAGATTAATCATTTGTTTAAATGCTGACTGATGTTTTCCATATCAATTGATAGGCCATTATTTACTCAATGAAATTTGTACGATTTTTGTGTGTTTATCCGATCATGACTTAGAGCACACAGCGAGTGTGACAAGTCGATAGGTGATGTTTACTCCTCAATAGCAGCTGATCCCTTTCTGATTTTGTTGATATCAATGTTTGCTCTGCTCCCAATCTGTATTGTTTAAATGAACTTTAAGCTTGCATATTGTTCGTTATCTCCACACATTTATATTTTTAATTGAAAATCATATTCAAATTCACTCTTGATATTAAATCAAACTGGAGATACTGTGAGCAATGAGCTCACTAAATGAAACCCCTGCATCCCATCTAGTCATAGTGGCGAAGTTCATGGTTTGCTCCGGATGACCCGAAATAAATGTCAGATCAAAAGTAAAATAGGAGGTGCACAGTGGAAAATTTGTAATAAAGAATCTGAAAGAACCATTACATTTTATTCATTATAGGGAGAGTTTGCGGATAAGAGATAAGGACACCCTTCAAAATTATAGAAGAAATGGACGTGTCCATGTTTTGCTCTTGGAAACGCAATGTATGTGTCCGATCAAAAATTAAAATTAGAGGTCACAATGGCACCACTGTAACAAAGATTCTGTGACAGTCTCATTAAATTTCATTCAGTGGAAAAAAAGGAGTTGCAGATAAGAGATTGGTATCCCAAAGCATAACAGACGGACGGAAGGACATCTCGATCACTATATATATCCTTCCACTTTTCAAACGGGGAATAATGAACATTTCTATGAGATCTCAGGCCAGTAGTCTTGAGGAGTATGTTGGATCAAGGGTAATACCACACTTTAACCTGATAGTGACGAATAGTAGCTTATTTGTGGAAACTGTTCTTGAAATTCATGAAAGTCGAATCTTACCTACAATGAGAACGGCAAGCAAGAAAAACTTAATCATGGTTGAAGTCCACAAAGTTCTATGAAGAAAAGATAAGGTTTAACTCTTGTTTATCTTGATAACACCTTGACCTCTCGAATTACCTCACAAACTTGATGTGAAATTTACAGGATGTTTCCTAAGGAGTGATTCAATATATATATTATTATTATTTATTATTTATTTTCAGTGACCCCGAATTGAACATCTCTTAAGAGGTTATTCCCGTGATCAGTCAGTTGTTTGTGATCAATACAAAAAAAGTAGCTTTTCAATCGTCAACTTCCCTTATTGATGCAGAAATATATCTTCATTATCTGCATATGGGGCTTATATCTCTTCTCTAGAGCATGCTCTAGGTATGAACATTTTTTAAACGAGGTTATATATTGATAAACATGTTGCTGAAACAAGAATATCATTGGTCTCGTTTTAAGTCATCATTCGTAAGTTCTTTGGTCGAATACAATGACCTTGTCAGCAAATATAATATATCACTAAGTCAAGTACTGATTAATGTTTTTCATACTAATTTTTAGAGCTTTATATATACACTAAATTGCCAACGGGTTTCCCCGTTATTTCCCGATCATGACAAGGAGCACATTGCGGGTGTTACCGGTTGGTAGGCAGGAGATGATCATTCCTCCATACCACCTGATCCCATTTATGATATTTTAGAGGTCCATGTTTGCTCTGCTCCTATTTTGTATTGTTTAATAGACTTTTGAGATCGAATACTGTTCATTATCTCTATATTTTTCATCCATAATGTAATTCGTCTGAGTTTGATATTTATTTATATTTTACAAATGATAAAAAATATATAGAGATCATTGTCAAAAGACCATTTATGCAATACTTAAAAGAGGCCAACACGGACCTCTGATAACAAAGGTGAGATCGGGCCAGGGGGCCATAAAAATCAGATGAGCTCACTTTTGTTCTCAGTCTCAATTTTACCAAAGGAGTTAATATATAGTGAAAAAGTGAGACGGAGATCAAAATTGAGCTCGTCTACGTTTTATGGCCGCCAGGCCTGGTACCACGAGGGAGTAATTACCCAGTCAATCGATCAACTACCATGTGCTCCATGTCAAAACAGGAACAAAGCAAACACGGATCTCCAAAACATCAGAGGTGGGATCAGGTGCCATGGAGGAGTGAGCATCCTCTGCCGACAGGTCACACCCGCTGTGTGCTCCTTGTTATTTTGGGAAATAAGGGAAAAAAATTGTCGTCAATTCAGTGTTTAAATAATGGACTAACAATAAGTATGAAAAACGTCAGTCAGCATTTGACTCAATGACAAAATGTATTTGCTGACAAGGTCACCGTATCGCTACAGAACTTACGAAATGACGAATTTAAACGAGACTGCCTGCTATTCTTGTTTCATCGATTTGTTTGTCAATGATTTCCCTCGTTTTCTCGTTTTCAGAAATTGTTCATATGTTGACCCTGCTCTTGCGTATCGAATCAACTGAGATATATAAACGCTGTATGCAGGTGATGAAGGTATATTGCTGCATAAGTAAGGGAAGTTGACGATAGAAAAGTTAAAGTCATCACGTTTATCATAGAGCATGGTTGTTAGATTACCATTGATATCTTTTTCAAGTAAAATATCCAAGTATGAAACAGATATGTAAGATTCTGTGGTATCGTTTATCTCAAACTCACTAGGATATATCGTATCGACATAGGAAAGCAAATTACTATTGTTAATTGACAATACGTCGTCGATATATCTAAATGTCGAGTTGTAGACCACAGCAAGTGTTTTCTTCCTTTCACGCCTAAGATTTTGCACAAATTCTGCTTCGTATGAATACAAAAATAGGTTTGCTAAAAACTGACAGGATGGAGCTCAGTTTGTTGCAGAACCTCGTCAAAAACTGCTACATGGGAAAAAAAAAACTCGCAGCGGCCTTCAACGTTGATATATATCAAAGGCGTTTGATCATTTAACAATAGTTATTTTCATTTATATGTCGACTCAATATATCTCAGTAAACTAGCTTGAAATGAAGAGTTTACCACAAAGAAGCCTGTTTCGTACGTTTTACTAACTTAAGACGGCAAGGGTCAACTAACAACTAAATTGTGTGACCAAGGAGAGGACTTAAGCTTTTTCATAATCAACGTTCCTTATGTATCTAGTATTAATCCATTTTCACCTGCATATGGTGTTAACGTCTCCTAACTTAATCGCTAACCAAGTGCTTGCTTTGATTAAGATCCATTTATTAAACCGAAGCAGGTTACTGAAGATAAGTTGATGTTACTGGGGTTTCAACAATTCGTTTAAAGTCAGCGTTTCGTAAATTTTTTGGTCGTTATAATGACTTTATTAGCAAATATAACCTATCATTGGGTCGTACTTTTGATATCTTGTTTCTGATTAATTGTTATATAGGCCTTTTTGTACTAAATTTGACCACGCAATTTTCCGATTACTAGACTATAAGTACCTGATCCATACATAGAGCTTTCGGCGTATGTGACCGGTCTACAGGGGATGCCTTCTATTCCAAGGCACCTGGTCTCACCTCTGAAATTTCTGGGGGTCCATGTTTATGATTTGTTCACTGACTGAATTGTTGTTTGTTTTTCATCTTTTTTCATTTGTCAGAATACAATATAACAAACATAAGACGAATTGGAATTTTACTAATGAATGAAAGAGTATTATACTAAAAAAAGTGCACTTAGTCTATACCATGCATCGTAAATCATTAGATAGAATTGTGACTGTTTGATATTCCAATAATACCACAATCCTAAATAGATACAATATAAAGAATCCTAAACGTGTTATTATGGCTAAATTGAACTAGACGTTATAAGACTAAGAGCAGATTATTAACAAAAACTAAAACATCAAAGACGTGACATCTTTCGCCAAAATTTTAAAGAAAACCTGGTACCTAATGACCATGTATATATTTTCTTCAACACGTTAAAAGGATTTCAATGATTTGTGAGGAAAATTGAGCAATTAGAATTGAAAAATCTATGAAATTCTTAGATGAAGCTGATGGAATCTTTTTTCCACATTTTTCTACAATACTGTCAAATGATGAGTTTATAACATTATGTTGAATGTGTTGCTTTTATTTGTCTATAATGCACTCTAGATATGAAAGTTTTGGTTAAAATTATTGTTTAACTGAAAATTTTACCGTTTGAAAATTAAAAAAATTAATATTTGTACTCTTTCTGTTTAGGTGTCTAATTTTGTATATTTGTTTTTCGTATAAAGGAGTACTAGTGCGTTTTAGCTTATTAAGAGGGTTTTTCTTACATTATTTTTTTTAGAATCAATAAATACTAATGCAATTGCATTATAAGATATCAAAAACTACATCCATTTAATTCTGGGAATAAACATTTTTTTTTTTCATTGGTAAAATGTTGCAACGCAATTCTTTCAAAAGGTTTAGATGAAATATATAGAGATAATGAACAGTATGTAAGCTTAAAAGTCCATTAAACAATAAAAAAAAAAATCAGGAGCAGAGCCAACGCGGACCCCCAAAACATCAGAGGTGGGATCAGGTACCATAGAAAAGTGAGCATCACCTGCCGACCTTGTCATGATCGGGAAAATGCAAAATCTGTCGTCAATTCAGGGTGTAAGTAGTCGGCTAACAATTAGTATGAAAAACGTCAGTCAGCATTTGACTCAATGATAAATTGTATTTGCTGACAAAGACAAGGTCATTGTATCGACCATAGCACTAACGAAATGATGACTTTAAACGAGACTGCTGATGTTCTTGTTTCATCAACTTGATGCAGAGCAAGCTCTTGCCTATCGAATCAACTGAGAAATATAAACTCCGCATACAGGTGATGAACGTACATCTTTTTGATGTACACTTCAGAGTTCTTGTGTGTACAATCGGAATATTTTTTAACAAAATAATATGACATATGACCATTGACAAGGTTCAGTAAATTTTCGAGTTTCATTTTTATTGAAAAAGCAGCTGTCCATGATATTACAAAGCCTGGACATTAATTTATTGTAGGGAATTAAAGCAAATTCATTCCTTTCTGATTTGAAGCATTCTAAAATGGAATTATTCTTTCTCAGAATTAAACTTGATTACATCTCTCTTATGCAGTTCCACCACAAATTCTAAACGAAAATGAAGATGGAACAAGGAAAGAGATTTTATCAAAGGAAGGGGAAACAGTCAACGTAATCTGTAACGTCTCGGGAATTCCCGCGCCGAGCGTGAAGTGGTACAGGCGCCCTCTGGAGGAAACAGTGGAAAGTAAAAAAGAAAGTAAGCAATAAAAATCAACTATCTGAGTGATATATATAATTTATAGAAATGCTTATGACTGTATAAAATTTATTGCATTATGAAAACAGGCATGGCTAGTTTGATTTTTTCTTTTCTGCGTAAATCCCATGGAGGCAGGTGAGGGAAGTCGTTTTAATACTTTATACAACTCACTTTTACCCTGTCAAATGTACTGTTTATTGACAGGTTTAATTACATCAGAGCTAGAACGGCGGGAAAGCGGGGAAAGAGAGCCATGCATTTACACGACCGAGAAAACAGGTAGACCCTGACCCCTGTACCGATGTTAGTCACTGATAAACCAGTGGAAACTTTGTGTAAATGCATGGCCTCTTTACTAACCAGTTATAGACCACTGCATGCTACTAACTTATCTACTATTCTAATCTAACAGATCGTGTTGTCCACTACTACTAATGAACTCAAATTCGGACAGGGCCTTCTCTCTATATAATATTCTGCATAATCAGCCCTGGGATATGATCACATGTATAAAACAACAGAATTAAATGTTCTTGATCAGCAAAACGCAACAAAAAAAATTTTTTTTTCTTTATTAAAAACAACTTGTAAGCATTTATCAGTCATTCAAGGGTTCGATACATTCTTATCTAGGCATCACTGACCAAAGTAATATCAACTGTTGTGATTTCTAAACTGTTCATTCTATAAATATATCGATCCATTTTACTCTCACAAAGACTCTTACATTTTTATAAGGTCAATCTTAATTATAATTAAGTCATTGGTATCAG